AAAGAAGTAGAACAGCTGAATAGACCAATAACAGCAAAAGAAATTGAAGCAGTAATCAAAAAACTCCCATCACACAAAAGCCCCGGACCAGATGGGTTCACAGGAGAATTCTACAAAGCATTTAAGGAAGAGCTAACCCCCATTCTTCACAGACTATTCCAAAAAATCCAAAAGGATAGAAAACTCCCAAACTCCTTTTCTGAAGCCAGCATCATCCTAATTCCAAAACCAGATAGAGACACAACAAAGAAAGAAAACTTCAGGCCAATATCGCTGATGAACACAGACGCTAAAATCCTCAACAAAATATTGGCAAATCGCATCCAACAATATATCCAAAAGATTATACACCATGACCAAGTGGGATTCATCCCAGGGATGCAAGGATGGTTCAACATTCGCAAAACAGTAAATGTACTTCATCACATAAACAAAAGCAAAGACAAAAACCACATGATCATATCAGTAGATGCGGAAAAAGCTTTCGATAAGGTACAACACCCATTTATGATAAAAACACTCAGCAAAGTGGGAATAGAGGGAGCATTCCTCAATATAATAAAGGCCATATATGAGAGACCTACATCCAATATCATACTCAATGGGAAAAAACTAAAAGCTTTTCCATTAAAATCAGGAACAAGACAAGGATGTCCACTTTCACCACTTCTATTCAATATAGTATTAGAAGTTTTGGCCACAGCGATCAGGCAGGAAAAGGAAATAAAAGGCATCCAAATAGGAAAGGAGGAAACAAAACTGTCACTGTTTGCAGATGACATGATAGTGTACATGGAAAATCCTATAGACTCTACCCAAAAACTGCTCAAACTAATTAATGAATTTGGCAAAGCAGCAGGATACAAAGTCAATATCCAGAAATCAAGGCATTTTTGTATACTAACAATGAATCAGCAGAAGCAGTAATCAAGGAAAAAATCCCATTTGATATAGCAAAAAGAAAAATAAAATATCTGGGAATAAACCTAACCAAGCAGGTAAAAGACCTGTATGCAGAAAACTACACAGCCCTGAAGAAAGAAATCAGGGAAGACACAAACAAATGGAAACATATACCTTGTTCATGGATTGGAAGAATTAACATCATCAAAATGTCCATACCACCCAAAGCAATATACACATTCAATGCAATACCTATTAAAGTACCAATGGTGTATTTCACAGACATAGAACAAACACTTCAGAAATTTATATGGAACCATAAACAACCCCGAATAGCAGCTGCTCTTTTGAGAAAGAAGAACAAAGTAGGAGGGATCACAATAGCTGATATCAAACTGTACTACAAAGCCACTGTAATCAAAACAGCCTGGTACTGGCATAAAAACAGGCACATAGACCAATGCAACAGAACAGAGAGCCCAGAAATCAACCCAACTCTCTATAGTCAATTAATATTTGACAAAGGGGGTAGTAACATAAAATGGAGTAAAGATAGCCTCTTCAGCAAATGGTGTTGGGAGAACTGGACAGCTACGTGCAAAAAAATGAAACTTGAGCACCAACTTACACCATACACCAAAATAAATTCAAGGTGGATAAAAGACTTAAATATAAGCCGTGACACCATTAAAGTCCCAGAGGAGAACATTGGCGAGAAAATCTCAGATATTTCACGCAGCAACATTTTTACCAATATGTCCACTAGAGCAAGGAATATAAAGGAAAGAATAAACAAATGGGATCTCATCAAAATTAAAAGCTTCTGCAGGGCTAAAGAAAACAGTATTAAATTAAAAAGACAACCAACTGTATGGGAAAACATATTTGCCAATGATACCTCAGACAAAGGTTTAATCTCCAAAATATACAAAGAACTTACACGACTCCACTCTGGGAAGACATCTAACCCTATTAAAAAATGGGAAAAGGACTTGAACAGACACTTCTCTAAAGAGGACATACAGAATATCCAGAGACACATGAAGAGGTGCTCAATATCATTAGCTATCAGAGAGATGCAAATTAAAACCACAATGAGATACCACTTTACACCAGTCAGGATGGCTATCATAAACAAAGCAACAAACAACAAATGTTGGAGAGGTTGTGGGGAAAAGGGGACCTTAGTTCACTGTTGGTGGGATTGCAGACTGGTACAACCATTATGGAAAACAGTATGGAATTTTCTCAGAAAAATAAAAATCGACCTGCCTTTTGACCCAGCAATTCCACTGCTAGGATTATATCCCAAGAATCCTAAAACATCAATTTCAAAGAACCTATGCACCACAATGTTCATAGTAGCACAATTTACAATAGCCAAGAGTTGGAAGCAACCTAGGTGCCCATCAGTAAACGAATGGATCAAAAAACTGTGTGGTACATATACACAATGGAATTCTATGCAGCAGAGAGAAAGAAGGAGCTACTACCCTTTGCAACAACATGGATGGAACTGGAAAGCATTATGCTGAGTGAAATAGGTCAGGCATTGAAAGACAAATACCATATGATCTCACCTTTGACAGGAAGCTAAAGAATAAAACAAACAAGCAAACAGAATAAAAACAAAGACACTGAAATAGAGAACAAGTGAGCAGTGACCAGAGGGGAGAGGGAAGGGAATTTAAGGGGAAAAAGGGGGAGGGATTTTGAGAAACAAGTATGGAAGACACAGGGATGAGGACTGGGGGAGGGGAAATTGGAGGGAGGGGGGAGACAGGGCGGGGGGTGGGATGGGAGAAATAGATAAAAAAATGTAGTTGAAAAGTAACTAAATAAAATTTATTATAAAAAAAGACTGTTAATAAAAAATACAGTTATGAATTTCCTTTGAAATTGTATAGCAAAACATGACAGAATATTCACAACGATTCACCTATTTTTCCACATTAGATATAAAAATTAAAATAAAACTTGCAGAAAGTTTTGCAAAATGAAAAAATCCCCAAACAAGCCAACATACAAAAAAACAACAACAAAAAAAACACAAAAAGGAGAAATGAAGGTACCTGGTTGGTTTGTTTTTTTTTAAGATTTTATTTATTTATCTTTAGAGGGAGAGAGGAGAGGAGAGAGATATCAATGTATGGTTGCCTCTCGTGAGTCCCCTGCTGGAAACTGGCCTGCAACCCAGGCATGTGCCCTGACTGGGAATCGAACTTGTTTGGTTCGACTGGTTCGCAGGCCTGTGCTCAATCCACTGAACCATACCAGCCAGGGCTGTTTTTATTTTTTATTTTTTTATTTTTAAAAATTTTTTACTTGATTATGCTGTTACAGTTGTTCTATTCCCCCCTTCATTCCCCTCCACCCTACCCCCCCATCCCCACCATTACCCCCCTTTAGTTTATGACCATGTGTCTCAAGTCCTTTAGATTCTATATTTCCCATGCTATTCTTGCCCCCCCCTTCTATTTTCTATCTACTGTCTATGCTACTTATTTTCTATACCTTCTCCCCTCTTCTCCTCCTCCCACTCCCGTGTTGCTAACCCTCCTTGAGATCTTCATTTCTATGTTTCCACTCCTGATCTAGCTGTCCTTTTAGTTTGCTTTTGTTTTAGGTGTGGTTGTTAATAACTGTGAGTTTGCTGTCCTTTCACTGTTCATGTTTTTTTTTTATCTTCTTTTTCTTAGGTAAGTCCCTTTAACATTTCATATAATAAGGGCTTGGTGATGATGAACTCCTTGAATTTGGTCTTATCTGAGAAGCACTTTATCTGTCCTTCCATTCTAAATGAAAGTTTTGCTGGATAGAGCAATCTTGGTTTTAGGTCTTTGGATTTCATGACTTGGAATAGCTCTTTCCAGCAGCCAGGGCTATTTTTAAAGCTATTTAAATACAGTGTTTCGAAGTTCGAGCCCAATACTCCAATGGAAATATAAGTCATATGAGCAATTTTAGATTTTTCTGCAGCCACATTAATAAAGTAAAAAGAAACGGTCAAACTAATTTTAATGTATTTTATTTAATCCAGTGTATCTAAAATATTAGCATTTCAAACTATAACCACTATAAAATTTTTTATTAAGAGAGTTTATATTCTGTTTCTATACCATATCTTCAAAATTTAGGGTATATTTTGTTCTTAAAAACACACTTCAATTCAGATGTTAAATTTTTATTAAAAATATTTGATTTACAAAATATTTTGGTTCCATGCAATCTACCTTTCAAAAGAATAGTTTCATAAACAAATTTGAAGTTTCTCCAATTTTAATTAAGCAAAAACTTATTTCTTCATTTGTGCCAGGTCCCCTTCAAATGCTCAATGGCCACATGAGGCCCTGGCTGCATCTTCACTTGCAGGGCAGAAGGGCAATGTCCACAAGCTAGTCCAGGGGGTCAAACTCATTTTCACTGGGGGCCACGTCAGCTTCACAGTTGCCTTCAAAGAGCCGAATGTAATTTCAACTCCTTAACAGTTAAGGAGTAGTTACATTTACACAGTCCTAAAATTATGTTGACCCTTTGATGGCAACCACAAGGCTGATGTGGCCCCCAGTGAAAATTTCAGGAGTTTGACACTCCTGAGATAGATAATCTGGCTTTTTTACATCTAAAGTGAGCTGAGGGTCCCTTAGGGAAAATGTTACACAAACAGTCTAGTTTAAGAATTGTTTTGTTTTTCTGGGTTATCAAAAAGAATACTATTTATAAGGAAGAATGTTGAATATTTAGCATAAATGGACTAATATTAAAAATACAACAGCTATCCCACAAAACAATAGAAGCTCTGTAAGAGCACAGCTTTATTCGTTTTAACTTGTACTATAATTTTAAGGTATAACAAAAATTGTTAACATAATTATCCTCAGGGAGGGACAAGTGATACAAGTATGAACAATAATAATAATAATAAAAATAACCTTTTTATACAAAACAAAGAAATAGTGATTTAAAACCTTAAAGCTTCAGATTTTGGGCTTATCTGAATTTGAACACAGAATTTAAATCCATCCTAGACAACTGATTGACTTCTATCTCAATTTTAACTAAAATGTTAAAAGTCATCTTAACAGTGGAGTTCATACCTGGATACTGTCGAATGGTGGACACAGAGCTGGTGATTGGGGTGTACGTGTGTGCAGTCAGTGGGTACGCAGAAGGTGGATATGTTGGTAAAAAGTACTGGAACTGAACAGGAACAGATGGTCTACAGATGAAACACAAATAATAATGAGCCAAAATGACCTATTTTCTTCTTTACCTTCAAATGATGCTATCCCCCAGATCCTCTTCATACTCTTAACTGCCATACCAACATTTCCCATGGTCTCAAACAATTAGATAAAAGGAAACAAATTTACAGAGTAACACTTTAAATAAATGAATACTAATAAATACTAATTATACTAATAAATGCAAAACATATGGAATAATAATTAGCAAAACTGACTTAAAAAACCTCAGTAATTGAAGGATCTTCCCTGCTCAATTACACTTGAAAGACTCTAAGCTTAGATTGTTTATACTGACAAATTTTATCAAACATATGTAAAACTGATAATCCCAAACTTATACAAACTGATTCAGAGACCAGAAAAAGAAGAAAAGTGACCTAAGTTATTTTTTGAGCTTAATATAGCCTTGATATCAAAACTCAATAGGGAGAGTATGAGAAAAGATTATAAACAAATTTCATTGATACCAAATTTCTAAATAAAACTGAATTAAGTACTATGTAAAATCAAGTATATCAGGATCAAATATGGTTTATCACAGAAAGATAGGAATGATTCAACATCAGAATTTCTATTAATGGTTCAGATCATATTAAAAATTATTAAAGAACAATCATTTGAAACTTTGAAAAGATTTATAAAAAAACTTAATAGTGTTCATACTTATTTATGATATAAATGTCTAAGAAAACAGGAAGAGAAACAAACTTTGTATCACAAACTGCAAACAGTATCTATAAAAATTTATAATGAAATTTCAGAAGAATTCCCATTCAGGTCAGGAACAAGACAAGGACCCTCATTATCACAGTTATATTCCACATTACATTAGAAGCTCTATCCAACAAGAAAAACATAGGTATACAAAATGGAAATGAAAAAACTCTTTTGTCTCTCAAAAAAACCATCCTATTTGTAGATGAAATAAACATCTACATGGGAAATCTGGAAGAATTTACAAACTTTTAGAGCTATTAGTCATGTTCGGCAAAAATGTTGGACACACACTATATTAAAACGTACATATATTCTTATACATCATAATAATCAAACAAGATCATTTAAAAATGACCCAATCTTAAGAAGACTTCATGTGCACTGTACCATGTCCTGACTGTGGGAAGAAGGGAAATGCAAATATGGAATTGGGGAGGTAATGGGGTTGAACTAGAGGTATAAGGGTGTACTAAAGAGTTTTTTAAATGTTACGTACCAGATTTTTCGGACTATAAGAAGCACCCCCCAAATTTGGGAGGAAAAGGGGTGTACCTTATAGCCCGAATGTAGTTTACCTGGCTTGCTGTGGGGTAGGGGGCAGTGGCAGTGGAGCATGTTATTAAATATTTGACTACATTTTTTGCTTCAATTTTTTTCCCCTATTTTCCTCCGCTAAAATCTAGGTGCATCTTATGGTCTGGAGTGTCTTATAGTCCTAAAAATACAGTACTTCTTACCTCTGTTTCCTCAAAGAGCCTAGAAGAAATGACGATCCAGTAACAATTAACACAGTTAATTGTCTATATCTTAGTTTCTAAATGATGAAAAGGAATCAGGGCTCTTTAGAGAAATGGCAGATTCCAGAAATCAGACAGATAAAATTCAGGAGTTGGCAATTTTGTGGTGGTGGGAAGTGCTAGAATGACCAGGACATGGCAAGAGTTTAGGAACTAGCCAGAAGGCGCTCCCAAAGACCAACCCAGAAACAGTTTGAGCATAAAAACAAGATGACACTAATAAATTTTAGTAATGAATAAAACCAAATCCATAAGCCTATACACAATAAATAAATGGGGATAAAATTTCTTTTTTAAAAATATTTTATTTATTTATTTTTAGAGAGAGGGGAAGGGAAGGAGAAAGAGTGGGAGAGAAACATTAATGTGTGGTTGCCTCTCATGTGTCCCCTGCTGGGGCCTGGCCTGCAAACCAGGCATGTGCCCCGACTGGGAATCGAACTAGCAACCCTTTGCTTCACAGGCAAATCCACTGAGCTACACCAGCCAGGGCTTTTTTTTTTTTGGGGGGGGGGAGGATAAAATTTCTTTACATCAAAATGCCAACTGATAAATGTGAAAGAAATGATAAATAGAAAAAGTCACTATGTTGCAACTATCCAATTGCAATCTTCAATTGATTCGGTGAAGAATCATCAACAAACTACTGTGTGAAAGTTTATTGGGGAACAGGATATTTGTAACCTCAAAGTATTTCCACACAAATTATTTATTTACAAAGAAGATACTCCTTTACAGAAGAAAAGTCTGGCAAGCATCATCTTCATTGATTAATGCTGACATAATTAACAATGGGACAAAAACATAGCATGAGCTCTATGATGTATTAAGTGAGAATGTATCACTCAAGTGGTATTCAGTCAAAAAATACAACTTCAATATCACTATGATAAAACAATCTGACAAGTCCAAATTGAAGAATATTCTACAGATCTGGTCTATCTGTATTCATAAAAAAAGGTCAAATTGTGAAAGAAATAAAAAAAATCATTTCAGGGATAATAGTATTGTGGTTAAGAAAGAGATGTCTTTGTTCTTCAGAGTGAAAATGGAAGGATAAAAATTAGGGATAAAGGGTCATAATGCTGTTAACTTTCATACTCTCAAAATAAACAAACAAATACACAAAATAAAACAATGCATACTAAGAGAACATCAAAAAAGGGAGGATGGCTGAGTAAATATGGACACTGTTCATAAAACTAAGAAAATAATTATTTTCAGGGGGAAATTTTGTAAGTAAGAATAAGTAAATATATGCTATATTTGTGGGACATTTTGTTTTATTGAAAATTCAAAACAATTAATGACACAATGAGACAATATAACAGGCAATTCTCTCCTACCTGTTGTCACTGCGAGTTTCCATGGCCACAGGATTTGGAGAGGCCCGATGCCCTGAGATGGGAATCAGGCTGCTCCTCTCTGTGGGGTAGTCAGGTTGGATCCTAGGGGAAGTGTGTGTGATCTGCTGAGGCACCACCTTAGCTACAAAAGTAAACCAATTACATTACTGCTTACATGCTTCTATCGGCAAGCCACAGCATTCTTGGCCAGCAATAATGTTAAGAATGCAAATCATAAGAAAGCCTGGATTTTTAGTTTTAATCAAAATAAAAAATGAAAGATGAGTACATAATGTTACACTAATTGTTTCAGTCTAATAATCCACTAATATATACAACCTGTTATTTGTTAATGCAGGGTTCAACATTAATACTTTAACAAAAATGTCACCAACCACACCTGTTTCTTCTTACCTGAATTCTTTGAGCCTGCCCCTTAAAAAATTTTTTTTAATTAAATAATTTCAACAAAAATATAAATACAGAAATGACAAAGACCTTAGATTCTACTCTGTAAGTAATTGGGTCCTTAACTACTAATAACATGTTACTAAGTGTTGAGTATTCCATTTAAATTTCGAAGTCTCAGTTTCCTCACATATGAAGCCTTCTCTAGAAAAATGACTTAATTTGAATATCCTTGTAATTTTATCTAACACTTTATAGCAAAATCAAAATAAATAGTTTTCAAATTTAATATAACATTCAAAATTTGCTTACCTCTACAATTTGTAATCCATTTTTTTTTAGGTGGTATAGCTGAACTTTGTTTACAGTTCCTATAAACCTATCTGTTAACTCTCTCTATACCTGGGAATTTACACAGAAAAGCTGGGACTTCAGAGATACAGAGGGACCCAGTTTCCATGTGTGTAAAGACCCAAGTTACTGCAGTGGCAGGCACATAACAAACAGACACTAGGATGATGCCACCACATTACCCAAAGTGCTATGCACGAAAAACCAAAAATAAGAAGCACAAACCCACCACGAAGCCTAGCTATTTCCTTAGGGAGGAAGCTAGAGAAGTCTGTGCCGGATGATGGTTGAGATGCCCTATTTGACCACTGATGATGGCATCTATTAACTAACAGAGTTTTCCATCAGTAGTAGTAGGTAGAGCATTGAGTGGAAAGAAACTAAACCTTATTTTTCACTGTGCCCATTAAAGGCAACTGAAAATAATACTGGCAATAGGAATGCAATGATCATTTGGCAGGGTAACTAACCAGTGGTTGGTGACTGTAAACAAACCCCACAATTTACCTTTACTTTTTTTCTAATTAAAAAAGCCATATTCTCAATTATTAAAAATAAATCTTAACAAAAAATATAATGCAGAAATCACAAGTTGGCCATAATGCTGTCTCCAAAGATAATCTCATTTTCTGGATGCTGTGACTGCTTTTTATAGTTCGAAGACCATCATCATGTGTGGGTCACAGCAAAAAGAAAATCAGGATGGTATTCTATTGGAAGCCAAGTATCCATTAGAAGAGAAAACTCTATGTTCATCATTAATCAGTCTTTTTTTCCCTGACCCAATACATTCTTATTAGTAACAATGGCTGAATCCAATATTTAATCTCACCTGGAAAAAGCAAGTGTCACCTGGAAAAACCCACTTAGGTGATTTTAATATATCTCCTATACCCAAAGTTGAAGATCAGTGCTGCAGGGTTAATGCCAAGTCTCCCTCCTCAATTGAGGTACTTGTCTACAGGTATCCTATTATGATGTAATAAAAGAGTAGGATACTATAAAAGAGGAAAACAAAACTAGAGCATAAACCTGATGGAACTTAGATGAAACTAATCACATTAAGTGGCAGATGTTAAATCTGTTTGGACATTTTTATCAAATGATTTTCATATCTAGAATTCAGTAAATGGTTAAAATTCAAAGATAAATGAGCTGGGGAGATAGAGAATACAGTAACTTAGGACAAGTAAAAAGTTGGTGGTTCTAGGCAAAATGAATGAACAGAGTTCAGTCTCCTGGTACTTTCAGTGAGTTGACTTCCACAGTGTGATCTCTTAAGAAGATACACTGACATTAACAAGAACTAATCTCAAAACAGTTTTTCACAGAGAGGCAAAACCAGAGAGCCCCTATAGGGTACACTGCCCCCTCTTAAATGTTCTGATTTTCTTCATAGCTATAGATTCCCTAATGAGAGTCTAGAACGTAAGAATTAAAAGAGTGGACTTGGCTCTGTTGTCATAGCACTGACAATAACCGATGACAATGCTAAGGATAGCCAGAAATTGGTCTGACATGACAACATGGAATAATCAATGAAAAAGAACATTTCAATGAGAGTAGTACAACAAAAATGCACTACTGCTCAAACCACACACAGACATAACAAATTTCTTTTTACGGGAGTAAAATTAACTTCCTAGGCATATGAGAGATGCTTGGTGCCAAGCTGTAGTGAGCAGTAACATGCAAAAGACCCAGTAGCAGTGTCCTCTCCACTAAAAGCTTTTTGTGGGGCTGAGTACCAATTTAAAGGCTGGTATAACGCAGTTATCTAAAAGAGGAGTAAAAGTTTCCTGGGACCAACCATTATTGTGCAAATTGTCCTCAAAGTTCAGTAAGAGGGCTATTAAGGTGCAGTCTATCTCACAGGTAAGGAAGGCAAGTAAGAAGAGACCGCCCCAGGGCTAGAACACAGCAGGTAGGGAATCTGTGCCTGGTCACCAGATTCTGATAATTCAGTATGTACTATGTCATCTGACAAAAAGCAGTCTGTACTTCTAAAAAGTACAATATATTAAAAATATGGCAGCTATCTCAGATCTTTGGGAGTGAAGAACAGTAAGATGACATGCTCATCATTACAGAACCAAGGCAAAGGTAAAAACTAAAATTCATGGCTGGTAGATTAAACAGAGCAGTCTCATGGGCTGTGGTCTCTGCCCTGGAAGATGTGAAATAGCTGCTATAGCAGACCTCGGTAACCTGTGGTCTGTGAGACAAATCCTGCCTAATATCTGTTTCTGTGAGCTAATAAGCACTGTGACACATAAAATTATATGATATTCAAATTTTGATGTCCTTAAAATCTTAATGAAACGTAGGCATGCCGATTTGTTTACATATTATCCACTGGTGAGTAGTTGTGGCACAGACTTACGAAGTCTGAAAAACCTAAAACATTTACTATCTGGTCCTGTGGTAAGTTTGCCAATACTTGTGCTCCTGATGACTAAAGTTTGGCTACTAGAAACCTTTCAAAAATTATTTACTGACTGACTAATTTTTAGAGGGGTGGTGGGGGGAGAGAGAGACAGACAGAAAAACACTAATTTCTTGTTCCACTTATTTATGCATTCATCAGTTGCTTCTTGTATGTGTCCTGACTGGGAATCAATCCACAACCTTGGTAGTATTGGGATGATGCTCTAAACAACCAAGCTACCCGTCCAGGGCCAAAGATTTTTTATACACATATTTAAAGGGGGAATAAACAAATTTTAGAAGTTTTGAAGTATCTTGAGGCAGGACTCAGATGAAAAGCTAGGTAATCAACTTAAGATTTAGCTATCTTCCCACTTTTATATCACCCGATGATTTTTCCTAAACAATCTGTCTGTATACAAATTCTCTTCATTCCATTATCTCTGCTTCTTTCTTTTCTTGTTGTTCTTGTGTAACTGAATGAGTAAAGTTAATTTACTTCTTTAAAAAGGTACACATAAAAGTAAAGATTGATGAATGAGGAAGTTAAATGTAGACTTAAAAGTTTACTTTAAGCTCTTTAAGATTACTTTCCTGTCTTCTCCTACCTTCAATGGCAAATATGTATGACAAATAATATTAAAAGATAAGTTCACTTTTACTTTGCAAATTAACAACAATAAAAAAATAAATATTATCCATCTATAAGAAAAGCTGGTCAGAGGAGCTGAAAAATTCCTTTTAAGCTTCTATCTGAAGGGTATACAATACTTACCAACTGGGATGTTTGAGGTGGTCACAGCAGTAGCATGGGATGAATGTGAGGGCATCGTCATAGTAACGATTGTACTTGTGGGAGCTTGTGTGTGTGACACAGTTCCTAAAATGGGAGGGAAAAAGAAAATTCAACAATGGCTGCTCTGGACACACTACAGGTTGTCAAAATCCTGATAAAAGCTGTTGGGAAAAGTTAACAGAATTTTCATAGCCTATTCTTTCTCTCTGACTGAAGCTGAGAAATAAAAAATTAACCTACCATTTACGCTTCATTTTCCCATGACAGAAAGAGTGAGAACGGTGGCTGACTTACCAGCTGTGGTTGCAGAAGAAATGGTGTTTGTTGCCAAAATAGGTGCTACTGTTGCTGCAGCCACTGGTGTGCCAGTACTGAAGATAGTTTTCTGTGGCAGAAAAACCCAGAACACAGTTATAAACAGGAACAGTTCCCATTCAATCCACTTAAAAGCAATCACTGCCACCAACATGGTCAGGTTCTTAGCATGTTCTACATAATTGTGGTTTCAACCCACAGAAGAACCATACAGATAGTTCTTCCCCTCTGGTTATACCTGAGCCATGGTATGAAGCTGCTGTTTTGGCGTCCCTAACCCAGGGTGAGAAGGCAGTGTGATTCTTGTTGTTACATCCCGTGATTGAGCAGGACGCTGAATACTAATTGCTGCAGATGGTGGATGCTGGATAGATAATGTCGGTCGACTGAAAAAATAGAAAAGACATGATTTATAATCTGTCTCCAAACACAAGGCAGGCATCAAGGCCACTTACCACCTTGTACTTGATCTGACTCATATAGCTGTATTTTTTTTTCAGAGTTCTGTGAGGTCTGCTGGTGAACCAGTGAAGTAAATGGCTCATCTAGTTTCTCTTTTGAGGAGACTTCCGCCAAGATGGAGGCATAAATGGAAACACTGTGCCTTCTCACACAACCAAGTTTAAAGACAACAAAGTTTTAGTAAAAAAATATGCAGCCAAAACACATAAAATTGACCTATATGGAAGTCTGACAACAACGAACCTTTCAGCCAGACCGGTAAGAGGTGGCAAAGCCAGCAGCGAAGTGGGGTTGGGCAGGAAAGATCCACCAAACCAACTCAGGTGCACAACCCAGTCACGTGACCCAGGAGCACAGGCAGCCGTGGGCGGATCCCAGGTGTGGAGTAGCGACAGGCCGACCCACTGAGGACACAAGGTGGCAGGCTGACTGCGGTCACACATTTGTGCGCAGATAAACCAGCAAAGGAGCAAGCAGTGAGACAGACCATGTAAGCCCCGGTGGCAAGAAGCAGCAGAGGGGACCACCACTGCCCCCCTTTGACCCCGCCCCCACATACAACATCACAAACCAGCGACCTGGGTGGCCCCGAACTGGTGAACACCTAAGGCTCCTCTCCTCATACGTAACAACCACAAACAGACCAAAACATAGCTCAAGAAGAACTCAAAGCCCCAGAGCCAATAACTCTAAGCGACCAAGAAATAGCCAAACTTTCAGATGCACAATTCAAAACACTGGTGATGAGGATGCTCACAGAACTGGTTGATTTTAGTCTCAAATTAGAGGAACACATGAAGACTAAACTAATTGAAATGAAGCAAATTGCACAGGGAACCAATAGTGATGGAAAGAAAACTGGGACTCAAATCAATGGAATAGACCAGAAGGAAGAAAGAAACACACAAACAGAAGAATGAAGAAACAAGAACTCAGAAAAATGAGGAGAGGTTTAGGGACCTCCAGAACATCTTTAAAAGATGCAACATCCCAATTATAGGGGTATCAGAAGGGGAAGAGGAAGAGCAACAAGTAGAAAACTTAGTTGAACAAATAATAAAGGAGAACTTCCCCAATCAGGAGAACGTCCCCAATCTGGCCAAGGAAATAGACCCCCAGGAAGTCCAGGAAGCTCAGAGAGTCCCAAAGAAGGGGAATCCAAAGAAGAACACACGAAGGCATATCATAATTACATTACCCAAGATTAAAATGAAGGAGAGAATCCTAGAAGCAGCAAGAGATAAGGGGACAGTCACCTACAAAGCAGTTCCCATCAGACTGTCAGCTGATTTCTCAAAAGAAACCTTACAGACAAAAAGGGGCTGGAAAGAAATATTCCAAGTCATGAAATCCAAAGACCTACTCCAAGATTGCTCTATCCAGCAAAGCTTTCATTTAGAATGGAAGGGCAGATAAAGTGTTTCTCAGATAAGGACAAGTTCAAGGAGTTTAACACCAAGCCCTTATTATTTGAAATGTTAAAGGAACTTATCTAAGAAAAAGATAAAAAATATGAACAGTGTAAGGACAGCAAATGACAGTTATTAACAACCATACCTAAAACAAAAGCAAACTAAGAGGACAACTAGATGAGGAACAGAACCATAGAAATGAAGATCACATGGAGGGTTAGCAACAGGGGAGTGGGAGGAGGAGAAGAGGGGAGAAGGTACAGAGAATAAGTAGCATAGCCAGAAGGTAGAAAACAGACAGGGGGGAGGGCAAGAATAATATGGGGAATGTAGAAGCTAAAGAACTGGTGACACATGGACATGAACTAAAGGGGGGGAATGGGAGGGAGGGGGTGTGCAGGGTGGAGGGGAATGAAGCGGGGGAATGGGACAACTGTAATGGCATCTTCAAAAATATATTAAAAAAACTATTACTCATAGCACAAAATTATCTGGAACAACTACTTAAGTTAACTACTTACTGTTAAGCTGTCTTCTTTCATAAATATTAATAAAAACATGACAGGAATATAACTTTAAAAAACCCCTACAAGCTATAAAAAAAATCTGTAAAGCTGACTGTGTAAAGAAATAAGCAAACCTCCTACATAGCAAATTATACAAAGTATAATCTTCTGAATATACTAAGAACTCGTAGAAATCAAAAATAGCAGCCTAATAAAAAATAGCCAGAAAAATACAAATAGTTTGCTAAAAAGAAAACGCAAATGGTCCCTTGACAAAGAAAAGATACTCACTCTCACTCATAGGAAGAGGAACGCAATTTAAAATACTCTGAGATATCATCATTCACCTATTACCTTGGCAAAAATACCTTCCCCAAGTTGACATCATTCTCTGCTATTCAGTCTCTAAGGAAATAGGCAATTTTAAACATTCTGGAGGGAGTATAAATTGGTATAAACCTCAGTGAAGGCAATTAGACAGTAGATACTGTCTGATCACTGAGAATTCATCCTATAGATATTCTTGCACACATGCATAATGACCTACGTAAATGTGTAAGATTATTCACTGCAATATTATTTATGATAGTAAAGTACTGGAAAGAACCATAAATCCATTTACACAATAGATCATTATTGTTTCAAGTAAAAGAACACTAAAATTATGTACTAAAATGAAAAGCTTTTGATATATGCTGTTATATGAAGAAAGTAAAGAGGAATATAGAAATTAAACATTCTTTTGTGTGAAAAGAGAAAAGTAAGAATTGCATTTGCATTTGGCTGTATTTAAGAAGCACTGGAAGGATATCTAAAAAAAACTATTACCATTCAGACTTCCAGTCAAGATGGCGGTATACGTAGATATGGATCACCTCGCCGCACAACCACATCAAAATTACAACTAAAACATAGAAAGATCATCACTCAGGAACGTCAGAAATCAGGTTGAATGGAAATCTACATCTGTCCAGACTGGTAAGGAGGGGTGTACACACAGAAGGGGCTGGTCTCTCACCTACATATGGTAGATAAAATTTTGGATATTTGGAAGGGATATCTCAGGAGCGAGGCATCCATCCCAACCCAATACCAGGCCCCCAGGTCCAGGGTTACAGTGCCAGGAAAAAACTCCCCACAACTTCGGGCTGCAAAAACCAGTGGGGACTGAGTCAGTGGAAGAGACTGCTGGAACCCCAAGCAGTTCCTCTTAATAATCCACACACAATGTTACTTAGAGTCACTCCTTCTGAGCTCCAGGACAGAGACAGCAACTTGAAAGGCACCAGCGGCATAGTGGGTGAATATTAAGTGTCTGGCATCTAGTCAAGCAGAGGCCATTATCCCTTTTCTAAACCCTCCCCACAGAGCTAGCAAGCTGGGACCACATCTCAAACTCCATTAACCTGGTAAAATGGCTAACACCATTTTACCCACCTTGGAGATCCCCAGAGACTCTACCCTACCCATCTCATGGGACCACCTAAGCTGCTTCTCCATATCAATGGCTGATCTTAGCTCATGCTTCACAACTCCTAGATCCTATCAAACAAGCAATTGTTGGCTTCAGTGAACCGCAGGTACAGCACTAGGAACAACTAACCTAGATTCTCAGCCTGGCTTCACCTGGGAATCTCCAAGCCCAATACAAGTAGCAGCTATCTGAGATTGCTTTATAGCTCAGGCACGGTGGCCACCAGCAAAACATAGGTGGTGGCTGACCTTGGCCTGTACCACCCATGAAACCCCAAGGCCAGCGCCACCCAGGGGACAGCTACAGACCACATCAGAGCACCATCACCCTGCCCCTGCACAAATGATGCCCCCTGGAGAACGGAAGTTGATGCTAATTGGTCACAGCCAATCCTGCAGCTGACTGGCCTGGATAAATCCATCCCATTGATCTGCCAACAGCAACCAAGGCTCAGCTACAAAAGCAGGCTGTACTCAGCCCACACGAACGGCACGCCTCAAGTACACAGCTTGGGTGACAGGGAAGTCTGTGCCACTGGACGCTATAGGGTACCTGCTACATTAGTCCACACTACCAAGATACAGAGTCAAAGCACCTCTACCTAATACATACACACAAACACAGGGAGGCTTCCAAAATGAAGAGACAAAGAAACATGGCCCAGAGGAAAGAACTTATTAAGACCACAAAAAGAGCTAAACAAAATGGAGATAAGCAATCTATCAGATACAGAGTTCAAAACACTATTATAAGGATACTCAAAGAACTTAGTGAAGACCTCAACATAATAAAAAAGATCCACTCAGAAATGAAGGATAGGACTTCCGCCAAGATGGAGGTATAGGTGGATGTGCCGTGCCTTCTCACACAACCAAGTTTAGGGACAACTAAATATTAGCATCAGAAAACACAACCAGAACACGAAAAATTGAACTTTTCGGAGGTCCCTTAACAACAAATTCTTCGGCCCGACCGGTAAGGGGCGAAACCGGGGTCTCGTGAGGGGTTGCACAGGAGGACTCCGGTTGGACGGACCCGGGCGCGGAATCCAGACACGCGAATCCAGACGCACGGGTTCCAAACGCAGGATTGCACCTAGTGAGCGACCGAGCAACCCACCGGGTGAGCGACTGCAGAGGAGACAGTGGGGAGGCGGTGCTGCGTGTTGACTGCGGTCGCCTATCTGCGCGCGAGCGGACAGGCGAGGGAGTGGGCGGTTAGACCGGCCGCGACGGGTGGAGGGCGCCACCATTTCCCCACTCTGACCACGCCTCCACATACAGCGTCACAACCCAGCGACTTGGGAGTCCAAGGCGCCGCTTCTCCCACTTAAAGGGCCAGAACAGACCAAAAATGTCGCAGGAAGACCTCAAAGCCCCAGAGATAAATCTAAGCGACGAAGAAATAGCAAAACTCTCAGACGCACAGTTTAAAACACTGGTCATCAGGTTCCTCACAGATCTGGTTGATTATAGTCACAAATTAGAGAAACATATGAAGGCTAAACTAATGGAAATGAATGGAATTCCACA